CCCACGGAAAAATGAGCTTCATCTTTTGCCTGTCCTTCTCAGTGTACGCTGTCTGTCCCTCTTTGTTTCCATCTTTTATGATGCCGGCACTCCATTTTCATATCCACTTATCCTCCCTTCGAGTTTGTGTCTTTCTATTTGGGATGAAGTTGATAGAAAATGTATAACAGTATTGCAGGATCACTTGATGGTGCCTGTGTTTGAAAATTAAAGCACACTACTCCTTGTGAATACAAATATTCACTAAGTTAAGATGAGTATATATTTTTTTTAAATTGTTGTTGCCATGCCATTTCTTTCAATTTAGCATTTGTCTTCTAAAATCCCGCCCCTGATTTACACAAAAATCCCTTTGCTGAGTTGTTAAATTTAAACACCTTTGGAAATCCGGGTTAACCCTCCGAAATTAGCATAATTTGAGAAAATAAACAATAAACATTTGCCCACTGGTTGCAATTTTGTATGAAGCAACAACAGCAGTCATTCCTATTGCTCACACATATACATATATTACAGTGCACCTACAATTTCATCCAAGCAGACTAGAATATAAAGTGCAGTGTGATCTTGCATATATTTGATAAGATTAACGATCGCATCAAAGGCCGCGTAGTAACCTCGGCAAGGAGCCCAAACACCACGAGGTAGAGCAGACCACAATTAATACATCATTATGCTGCTACAGTTTATACCCGTGAACACACACAGCAAGACCGCCGACCAGTCTGTCTCAATATCTCCTGCATTAGACATGCAGGAATGTTAACATCATTATGCACAATTGTGAATGTCTGTCTGTGCCCTCCCCCCCTTTTACTCCCCTACCATATTGTGTCTGCGGGTGAGTCTGTCTGTGTGTGTGTGTGTGTGTGTGTGTGTGTGGTGTCTGACAGAGGGCAGCATTATTTAAATGTTTTTTTGTATGCAAGTTGAAGCAAATTACTTATTGGCTATGAGAACCTCTAAATGCAATATTGTCTAACCATGTCAACATAAACATTTTGTTAAGGGAAGTGATGCTGCAGGAATTTATTTCATGAGAAAATACATGCTTTGCAAAAACTATTGAATATTAGTATTTTATTACTTACTCTAGGATTTATAAATTAGGATTTAATAACAATTTGCATTAATTTGTGATAAAACACACTGGCATATTTACCATCACACACACACACACACACACACACACACACACACACACACACACACACACTTTGTTTTGTATTATGAATCGTGAAAAAAATGATGATGTAAAATTTAGGAACTAATCAAATGTACTTTAAACCTTCAAATACACATTAAATGTTTTTGCACTTTCTCTGCAATATCAGTGATATTGTCCTGATACAGTATAAAGGTAACCCAAGTGTTTTAAATATTCATTGTGAGAACCAAATCAAATATCGAGGAAAATAAATACAAGCATATTTTTCTTTTCGTGGCTAAAGCAAAATGGCGACCGACCCATTTCATCATCGCCTAATCCCCCCCAGTTACTGAACACATTCATAAAAATGTCACATGTTTGATAGAGTTGAAGTTTTTACTGGGAGAGCGAGGTGGCAAGGAGGAGGACATTCATTAGCACTAGTGTTACTAATACCTGCTCTGCATTTCTCTGAGGCGGTACCGTCACAATATTTCATCATCCCAACACACACGTACTGCAATGCTGTTTGCAGCCATCGTATCGTATTTGCATTCAAGGTGTTTTAGAACAGCCTCTAGAGTTAACGTTATTCATTTTGTTGCATCGTGAAAAATAAAGAACAATTTCCAGCAGAAAATAAAACAAAACAAAGCTACTGCACATATTGTTTAGGCATTGGGAGCAAAACACATCAATCCAGTATTTATAAGCAGAGGAAACTTTACAAAGTCTTGCTTTACAGAGCAAAAGAAATTTGGAATCATATTGAAACCACTATATTTGAAGATTGTCCGGCAAGTGTTGTATACAAAGTGCTTGGCATCCCTCTGCTTATGCAAATTCCCCTCCTGCCACCTCGCTATTCCTTGCTGCCGGCGATTTGCATTTATCTGCATGATTTTACAATGTGCATATCCTTTGTTCTGACTGTATGATGATGCAGAAGAGCCACCCCCCGCCCTAGCAGCGCTATTACACAGCCCGCTGAACGCTACTTGGATATTAAATGGAAAAAAAACCTGTAGTTTTATCTGTTTTAATTATATATTGATAAGACGAGATTTCCACAAATACCACACTCACTCCGTGGTACACCAATGAAGATGTAGTCCATTAGAATGAGAAAAAAGAGGAGTATGTTTTAGGTTTGTGGAATTTTTTAACAACTAAGGAAAGGACATATTGTGCCAAGGGATTGCACCCAAGCATGACATATTGAATTACTTGACAAGTAGGAAAAAATTTTAATTATCGATGGAGGGTGAATCAATAAAAAGGAAAAAAAACACCTTCAACATATTTTACAATATTTTCATAAATAATGTGTATTTTCTCCCTCTGTTGCCTCCCCGGCTTTAGTTATGTCTTATATGTGTTTGCTACTGTATTACGTCATCATAAATAATCAAGCCTATGCATTTAGCATGTTATCTTCACTGTTCAGAATTGTTCATTTTGATGTTTGTGAATAGACCTGCTGCAAAGCTTTCCTGAAGTATTTTGTTCTCTGTTGTTGTTTTATCTGAGACAGCATGCACACACACGCTGACGCTTTAGCACTCCTTAATCATGCAGACAAATGCGGACGACTTCATTAATCGCGCTGGGCTTGCACTGATGACACAGAAGCCGGCCTACAACTGGAGGGTTTATATCCACGAATGCGGGCGCCACATTATAAATACTTACCCCCGCTAGCACCCTAATAGTAAGCAGCTGCACTCTAAAATATTCATGTCTGATGAATAAGTATGAGTATAGTATAGCTAATGATGAGATGCAATGTAAACAAACTATACTGTATATAATAGTAAACATTCAATGTTTTCATTGGGGCTTATCGCTTTGGTATTGTCGGAGGAGTGAAAAAAGATCAATCATGACCATAGAAATGTTAATTTAGAGTCCTTGTCCTTATTTCAGGTGATATTGTCAAAGTACATCTGTAGCTGCAAAGATTAAAAGCTGCTCTGGTTTCCTGTTGCAGCTTCAAACCCATGACTCTGCTACATTCTGCACACAGGTAATGGCTGGTAGGGGGAAAAGTCTACCACTCTAACTAAATAATGCAAAGTTTGATATAGGGGTCTAATGACCCTGACACACTTTAAGCCGGGCTCTTAGCAGAGGGGATGAGGTCTATCTAAAGATGATACTTTTGTAAATGTTTGCAAAGCTGCTCCACAGCTGTTGCGTTTACTGTATCTTATTAGATCATCTAGTGAAACCCTTTGAAACTGAATTCAAAAGTCAGCTTTTTGATGCTATTAGGCGAGGTGTTGGATGTATAAAGCTGTTGACCCGCCTCTATTGTGCAGTGAAACAATCCTGAGCTCTCAGTTACAATAAAAATATGTGTACAGTAGATACAGAAAGATACACATTTTAAAGTTGTAAGATATTCCATTTGAAGCTGTGCTATGGTGGCAAAAGCGTTAATTTTATACAAAAAGGTAATTTGTGGAAATGTACTGCAGAGTTCGCTATAAGGCTCCATCTCTCTGTGGTATATTCTAGATGGCTACAGACTTGAGCACTGACTTTTCCTACCCAGTGACTTGCCCTGCCCTTCTAATTGGCCCTTCTGAGAAGTCCACCAAATGTGTGTAAGAGTATTGGGAGTAATTAGGACGAGTAACACCACCGCACACACTGTGGCCCATGGGCGCTGACATACCACCTCTATCGTCAGCCACTTATTCTTTTTTTCTAGCGTCACCAAGAAATAAACTTTTGAACTCTGAGAACTCTCAACAGAGAACATAGAGAATCACCAGGGTATTTTCATGTGGTTCCATTTTTTCCTACCAAAAGGTGTCACTCTGTGGTATTGTCTTACCATTGAGGGCATATGCATGGTAAAACAAGTGCTACTGTATACGTTCTGCTGACAGTGACAGTCAATCATTTCAGCTAATTGTGCACAGCGTGTATCCAACACTTTGCACCAGCTCAGCCTCTGTAGAGGTCACCTAGTTGTCATAAAAGTGGAGTCAAAGTTGAAATTAAGACAGCATGGATGGTAATAAGCTGCTATAGAAATACGAAGAATATTTCCTTGTCATGAGAGCGAGCTCAGCTCATTAAAATGTTTTTCTCTCTTCAATAACATAAAACGTCACATGTAATAATGGCCGGAGGTGTAATTGATAGAGCAAGATGTCTTGCACGCAATGCAAACAATGCCAGGGCGATGGCAATTACTGTTACCACGTGGATTGCAATGGTTGATGCTACTGTTGCTAGTGTGTGTGTGTGTGTGTGTGTGTGCGTGTGTTTTGTTGTTGCGATGATGAACAGTGAACAGTAACCTCTGTTTCCCCCTTGCTTTTTGTCTTTGGTATGGATCACAGGGCAAAGAATGGGTCATGGGATTTGATATTGTCCACATTGCCTGAGCTCCCTGTTATTCTGTTGACTGTGTCCTCTGGACCACTACTAACATCTATGCCTTCATCCAGCACACACATGGGCTGACTTTGCTGCAGGCAAACAGACACACGTGAACACACACTCACACATGAGCAAAGATAGGCACAGGGGGAAGAACAAAACCCCTGCCAACAAAGAAATGTGTCTATTTTTGACATTTTCAATATTGTATTTACATTAATCAGATAAATATCAAAATAATTTGCCTAGTAAATAATTCAGAGCTCAGTGACTTGTGAATTTCAAAAACAGAACGGTGATTATGTTGCCAAGCTTGCAACAAATTCTTAGAGTGAATTTCATTGAAGAAAAAAGATCCACCCACATACATGGAACAAAAACGTGCAACACTTAGCCCATATAGGCTAGTACTGCACAATCACACACATATTTTGGTTTATTAACCCAAGCTTACCTCATGTGGGTCCAATGGACAGCAAAATCCCAGAGATCTCGTCTTGACCTCTACTTCCGGCTGCAGTTCTCCACAGCTCTCTTTCTCCATCACTGCAGCAATAAAATCATACACAGGCAGGGAGTGAACGTGTTTACTTAGAGTTAACCTTTACATGTTCAATAACTCTTCTTGAGCAAATCACAATTAACATGTTTCCACTAAAAAGAAAGGAGGGGAAAGCAAACGCACAGTTATAGGAGAAGGAAACAGAGGTAGCATTTACCATTGCTAAGTTGGCTTGCAGTAATTCAAATTGGCAATAACTTTGTGCAAATATCTTCTCAACCTTTACACCTTGCCACAAATAGCAAGTCAAACTTGGTACCTTTTTATGGCACAGGAGCAGCTGGTTTGCAAATCAGAAGGTCATTGGAGTTATGTTTTTTCATACTTGAAAATATCAATGTGAAACTTTGTTTGATGTTAAATTAGAGGTCTAAAGTTGTATCATTGACGCAAAGACAGCCTACTTAATGATGGCATATTAAAACTGAGATACTTTCAGTCTAAGTCTGGTGTATGCTGCTTGACCTTTGCCCTGCCTCCTCTCACTAGCCGTGTTTCCATCCACATATTTTATGCGCATTTTGACATATCACATTAGACACGATGCATGCAGACGGGAAATTCCATAAAACTTCCTCAATTGCGAAAAAGAAGTTTCTACGTTCACTTGAGGAGTTTTTTTTGTGCTTGATGCAAAAAGAGTTGATGCGCTTAATCGATTACAGAATGCCATAGCTGAATAATGTCATCATCATGTTATCATCTTCAGATGGCATGAAACGTGATCACTACTAGCTGACATGAATGAACGATTAAAACTTTCCCAATTGAAACAAATTCAAATTCAACATCAAGGTCAAAAGTCAAATGTCAAGGCTCAAGGACAAATCCATTTGAGGTCAAAGGTATACCATTATAGATTATAAGAGCAGTTTGAGACAAATATTTTGAGCTCCCAGAGCAACACACCGACGAACTTGAATGCATCCTTAAAAAAATTGGGAGTTACAGTCTTTCTATTAATTTCTGTCCTTTAACCCTGCTGTGACTGCTGACACGATCCTCGTGTGAAGATAGCTTTCAAAAACTGGTCAGATGTAAAAAATACTGTAGCTGAACAAGAATCACTGGAAAGTGCACTTTTGATATTAGATAGAGCAGTACATTTTATCATTTTCATGTGGTGGCTATTATGACTCATTGGGAGGACATACATACATACATACATACATACATACATACGAACACACTCACACACACACACACACACACACACACACAGTACGTAATTTCTTTCTTCGATTTCATTCCTACTGTGTTCCTAAATAATTGTGAGGCTCTTCTGGCATGTCAATATCAAACTGACAGATGCCACCTTTTATTAGAGCTCCATATCAAAGCGCAAACACTCACACACACATACATAATCAAACACTTGCATTTGCGCTGACACACTCACTGTCACAACGCTGCATGTCAATATCAATAATACAGCACACAAGATTCTTATGATTAAGGTCTATTTTTTCCTTTTTATTTATGATTTTGATACATAAAATAGCCTACAAACTTTAAAAAAAATGCATTACAATCAAGGATCCTAAAAAGAACAACAATCATAATCTTTAAATTCAATTAACACTTCAGGAGTAACAGGAAGAACCAATAAAAACAATTAGGATATCTTTATGCAGGGCATATTCTCATACTCCCATTGCAATGATTTATGCTGTTCAGAGTATGTTTTGCGGTTGTGTGGCAAACCAATGTGTGTGTGTGTGTGTGTGTGTGTGTGTGTGTGTGTGTGTGTGTGTATTTCTAGCCCTACGGCAGGGTTTAGGGTAACTATACAGCTCTCCCCCCTCCACCTTCACCCCGTTCCCTTTGCGGCTTGTGTGGCTTGTCTCATCCCATCTCCCTCCTGCTCCTCTATCTCCCTCCTCCGCTCTGCTCCCCCCTCTCCTCACCACTACTCTGCTTCTAGCCTACACGTGTGTGTAGGGTGGGTGGATGGGTGGGCTATGCTGGCGACGACAGTGCCAAGAATCATCCCCTGCTTTCTCTAAAGCAGCAGTGTGGTGATGCAGAGGGTTCTAAATCGAATGCATACACAATGTATACATATCATACACAATCATATGCAGGAATTATAAGAAACGTGAGGGGGAACATACACATCATAGACCTACAAGGACTCTGTTTATAGAGTGGGGAAATAAAAAAATATGCTGAGTGAGCTGCACTGATTTGAAAAAATTCTAATAAGAAATTCAAAATTGGAAAACCACATATATCTTGACTTCGGTGATGCAGAACTGACTGTGCCTTTCTCACACTGTGTGACTCCTCACTAATTGCACCTACATATATGACAAAAAGAAGTAGTCAAAGAACAAAAGCACCTCCTTCACGAGAGGTGTGTCTACTCTCCACCTCGGTGGCTTTCAGTGTTTCATTATCCAAAGTCGAGGTCTGCTTTGCCACCCAGCTCCCCCACGCTGCCTGTCTCATTTCCTCCCGGTAACAATCCATTAGCCAACGCCAGGCTCAAACACGCAGTCGCTTAATTATTCTCACTTCTTTGGCAGCACGACGGGGCGTACCACTCATCAGAGGAAACAGGGGAACAGCTGATATTGTATATATACTTTAAGCATGTAAAAAGGGGCAACAGGCTTACTATGACGAGGACAGCTCAAATATACATAATATCCACGTACATCCTTCTAGTATACGAACATAATCACTTCCAGATAGATACACACAAACACAGCTATATACATGTATCTACAGAAACAAATCTTAACATCAACGAACCATTCTAACCAAAACTCTAATTGTAGTCAAATACCTTCCATAACATATTTCTGGTGAACCGCATGATTGTGTGTGTCTGTGTGTCGATGCCCAAAAAATAGGTATTATGTGTGGCATAATTCATCTTGAATAATTTCCTGCACATTCTTCCTAATGCTACGCCTCAGGAGCACTTCAGGATGAAAGAGAATGCTAATGCTGTGTCTGTATCTCACTGAACAATGTGTGTTTGTGGGCTGTACGTGTGTGTATGTGTGTGTGAGTGTGTGTGTGTGTGTGCGCATGCCCGTGAGTATGCCGCCTAACTAAGCACAGTTATGACAATTAACAGATCTGAGAGGTCAGCTACAGTATGTATATGTGACAGTGATGGTGAGCGAGACAGAAAATGATAAGTGGAACAGTCTAGCACTGATTTAATAAATTAGCAATATTGTCACTGACTTCTTTCTCTGCTCTAAAGCATTTGTATTGTAGATTTTTGGTGTAACAAATGTAATACTCTCACAAAGAGAGCAAGTGTTACCAGTTACTGTTGACAAAAGGTTAAGTGCTGCACCTTTATCATATTGTTGAGGTAAGCACATGCATTTGTGATTTAAACAATATGTTGACTTTTATTCATATGACGAGTAGCACTTTACAGTGGCAAGCTCTGGTTAAAGGTTATGACGATTAAATAATTGAATGAACTGTTTAACACCTTAAATTAACACGTAAATCCGTAACTTGAAATATTTTCAAGATTTGAAGATTTGATTTTCAATAAATGCTTTGTGTGTCAAATCACAAACCGACCTCAACAAAAGACAACGTACAAATAGCTCATTGCGCAGAAAATGCATAGCAATGGTTGATTTAAATTCTTAAATATTACCAAATACCAGTTTAGTTCTGATGATGGTGCTAGTGTTAGTGCTTGTATCTAATAAATGTCGTGCATTAGAAAGCTAAACACTGGCCGATCTCGTAGGTGACAGTAATCGAGGGAATTAATACATGCAAATGAAACACTCAGCATGCAGAGCCGCCGATGACAGTAATTGAATAATCGACTTTCAGAGCTCTGCGTTCCTCTCCATATACCACACAGAAAATTGTATGCGTTAATGTGTATGCGTGCATGTGTCTATGCCAGCGGACATTTTAGGTCTACCCTCCTCACACTCTCACTACTGCCAAACGCCTTAAGATGGTGGCACCTTGAGGCAGAGAGAGACACTCATAGAGAAGCCAACCTCCTCCTCCCTTTCCCCCTTCTTCCACCTCGGGTCCTCACGACAACACAGGACAGGCCCCCCTTCCTAACCCTTAGCCCCCTAATAAATATTTAATTCACCCCTCTGTAATAAGGATATTAGGCGAGTACACCCCAGCCCTGGCGTATATGCATGAATCCTTTCTCATCAAATTTACATAAAAGGGCCAGATGCTAATGCGAGCATAGCACCTATTGCTCACTATTCTATATGCACTGGTATGGCTCCCTAGTCCGAGAGCCCATATAATTTAATTGCCGAACAGCATATATTTTTCAAATGGTTCCCCATATTTAAATTGCATCTGGGCCTCAACACCATATGCTTTACAGAGAGCGCGAAGACGGGCATATTTTAATTATAGCGGCGGCACCACTACAGTACTTATGCTTTTTTAATGTTTTCTGAAGCCCCTCCTCTTCTATGAAATGATAATACCGACGTGCTTGTGCATAATATGAACAATAAAGAATCTGGATGTTCAGACGATGAACAGAGGTGCACATTGGGTTTTACAGTTGGGGCTTATTCAAACATTAATTGCCATTTCAACAATAAAAGCCAATTAAGGTTTGGAAACTGCATTATTCTGATAACGTTAGCAGTTTACTAATGGGAATCTGAGAGCGAATACAGTGAGAGACAATTAGCATTATAATTTAGAGAAAGGTGCCTTGATACTGACAGATTGTGGACGTACATAGGGTGCACTGTATATAGAAAAAACAACATGTAGACTACAGAGTACAACATATTTCATGGTGAGACTGAGCGCCCCGATGTTTGTAATTAATAGAGGATGAATAATGCAGTGACACGAAATATATTATTTACACCCTTTTATCTTCGAGGAAGATTCAAAGCATATTTCAGATGCAATTATACTAATTTATTTATAGTGCATAGTATTTGAATAATCAAAAGCCAGCAGACCACAGATATCCTAGAAGACAGGCTGATAGCCAGCT